ATAATCTTAACGTTAACCGATACAGATCTAGTATTTTCAAAATCATCGTCCGTGGGATTCGAACTCTAGACCTGCCGCTTGGGGGTGCAGCAACCTCACCACTTTACTAGGTCGCCACACCCTATATATTTTCTACAGTTATCAAAATATTCAGTTTTATTATCATCATATGTTTCTTTGTAATCATGGAAAGTTGTGTATTCTTTACAATTTTTGCATTTCCACATCTATTCTGATATACTCGGAATTTATGTTGATTCTATTTTGGATTTTGTTTTGAATTTCTTGATTTATTTCTTCAATGATCTTTCATGCTTGTAATTCTATTCAATATTGTGTCGAGTTATATTCTTTATTTTCTGCTCATTGTCTACAACTTTTACAAGTTTTGAATACCTTTCCTATAGAAGTATATCCAAATTCTTCTTGTTTTTGTGTTCTTTTGCACCTTGAACAGTATTGTTTCTTGGTAAATTTTCGATTTTTTTTAATTTTTCTTCAGGGTTTCTTTTAGAATATATTTTCTGTTCTTTTCTTTTCAGTCTACAATTATTGCTGGTTTTATATATTTTTCTTGATGATTCTTTAAATGATTCTGAATATTCTAATATGGTTTTACAACTTGTACAGTATTGGCTTGTTGGTATCTCTTGGTTTATTCGTAATGTACTTTATTATTTTCTTGAACATATGAGAATTTGTGCCAGATTTTTATTTCTGCTTTATCATTTGAATAATCAAAGTTGTCAAAGAATATTAGAATGTAATAGTCTTTTTCTTTTATAGTTCCTGTAGAGTTTTCTGATTTTTTAGATTTTGTGGTATTCGTTAATTTCTTGTTTCCAGTAAATGTTCCTTGATGAACAAGAATTTGTTGTGATTCTTTTGTTGTAAGGTTTACTACAAAGTGTTCAATGTCTGTAATTTCTTCTCTTAATAAGGAATAAGGATAGATTTTCTTATCATAAGATATGAATATTTTGTCTCTTGTGATTTCTGATGTCTTTTCAAAATATCCAAATGGTGTAGCAATAATTCGTACTATTGCTTTTCCATGTTGAAATATTGATTCTTTAAATAATCATGTTTTTATAGTTATCTGTGATTTAATTATAGATATTACTGTAGTTTCTGGTTTAATGTGTATAGATTTAAATAGTTTTTCTGTATGCTACTCTAAATGCTTTAGTGGTAGATGTTGTTTAAAGCTTTTTACGTAATAGTATATTTACTGGTTCTCTAGAATATACTCTAGTAGTTTCTTCATCAATTTCTGTTAATAATGTTGTAGTATCAGTATTTATCTGTAGGTTTGAAGTTGGTTTTGGTATTAATATTTGTTCTGCTTTTTCTTCCTTCAAACCTTAGATCTTATAATAGATTATACGCTACTATTTAAATTAGGAATTGACAATTTATTACTAGAAATTGAAGGATTAAACGAAATTTTAGAAGGAATAGTACCACGACAAGAAAACTAAGAGATTTAGTTATGACCGCAAAAAATGGGGCTAGTAACCAAAAATTATCATATTCAAAAGAAATTTATTATATTACATACAAAATAACTATTTATTACCAGAAGAAACCTATAACTGAAACCTTAGAATATTATGCTGACAAATCAGATATATCAAGTGAAAACTCAAGAATCTGGGATACATATCCTGAACAAATAACTAGATTAGTATCAGAAACCCTGAATTTTAGCCATTTAAATACTTTTGAAACCATTATTCGGAACCAAGGAATACTTATCTTAAAGAAATAAATCCATACCAAGAAATAATATTCCAAAGACCAGTAGAAAAAATTCATTCAGATATTGTAGTAACACTTGCAAATTTGATAGCAAGGTGTAATCCTACAAACGACTTAAGATTAGGAACCATATTAAAAACTTTGCAATTAGCAATATCACTTACAGGATTTAATTCTTACCAACCCAGAACTACCACAGAAATGCAAAAATATGAAACTACTTTAACAGTAACAGCAAAACAATTTAAACAAATATGTGATATCAATCTAAGCCACGATATTCCAATACCTTTAAAATCAGTATTGTATAATATTATATTTATAGCAGAAGATGTATTATATGAAGAAGGAGC